AGGGGAGTCACCGGCACGACTGGTGCTGGGCGGCAGCAGGGGCCCAGCTGGGGCTGCATAATAGGAGTTCTGTAGTGGAACCAATGAATGCAGTTTTATGCCTTTCTCCAGCAACCTTTCGCCACCCACGCATGTAAGACCACAGAATAGATGTGGCGCCTTTTTGCTCACTGCTTATGACTCCACACTTGACTGCAAGCCAGGAAGAGCACCATCACGTGCTGATGCACTGAGCCATCTGCAGAGAAGGGGATAATGGGATCCCATGGGGCCAAGATGGGCCAGGTGGGAATGATGGAAGCTGGAAATGGGAGAGGAGGGAATCCACTTCAGAAGGGACTGGCCACAGTGAGGCCTGTAAAACTAGAATGGGGCCTGAGAGAATTGAGAGGGCTTAGGAGGCAGGGGTGAAAAAGAAGCTGCAGAAATACATATGCTGATGTTCACACATGATAGCAGCCTGTCACTTCAAAGCCTTCCCACTTCCCTCCTCATGTAGGTAAGAAAGAACCCATGGCAGACCAGAGGATGCTGATATTTCACTGTTAACTACCAAAGACAATGGAGGGCTGGATAACCCAAACCTAACCTACTGCTGTCAGTTGATTCCGACTCATAGAAAGTCTATTAAGGACAGAGCAGAACTGCCCTAGAGGGTCTCCAAGGCTGTGTCTTTATGGAAGCAGACTGCCACATCTTTCTCCTGTGGAGTGGCTGGTGGATTTGAACCACAGATGTTTCAGTTGGCAGCTGAACACTTTAACCACTGTGCCACCAGGGCTGGAGAGGTGGGTAAAACACTAGCCACAGTAAAGGTCTGGTGTTTGTTAACCACATTGTGTTACAACCACACTCTGCTTTCCAAAACAGCACCCTCAGGAGAAAAGAAAGAAAGTCATTTTTCTTGAGAGGCAGAAGATTTAACATTGCTTAACAATAACACTTAACATCGCTTAGCCCTTAGCCTTAGGCAACCTTGTAACTACTGAGCGCTAGGAATTGTCTTTTTCCAGTGCTGGCCTGGGCTCTGGCTTTGTTTTGTTTAGTGTCATTTAGCCTGGCAGTAGGCCTCATCGACCTACTTTAAAGATGACAGAGTTCCATGAAAGCGTAGGAGGGTGCCCCCTGACCGGGCTCCTTCCCAACTCTGTGCCCAGGGGGGCATTTTCACTCTGTGTCGATGGCTCCAAATTTAGCCTATCAGTCAACATTATTGAGTTTATCTTAAAAACTCCTGTGATGCTTTCCACACACAACATAGGAACCAAATCAGTCAGTAGCATATTAAGTCTTAAGTACGGTAGGCCACTGAGTTCCTATGGATATGTATTTTTGTTTTTAATTAAAAATTTAGCTCTATCAATATTTTAAGGTTCCTTTCTCTGTGACGAAAAGAGGGGATCCAGTGTCTACAGAGTCAGACTCGCCTCACTCTCCTGGCAAAGGGAGATGGCACGGCAGGCTGTTGCGTTGCAATTAAGTGGATAGGGAGACCTCCGGGGAGTAAAGACTAGAATACCAGGGAAAATGTCACCGGCACTCAGGACTGAATCTGCACACTGCCTCAGAAGCCAGCAGCGTATCCCCTTGCCTCTGTACTCGGCATCTTGTCGAGCAAATATGGAGCCCCCCACAGTCTGGAGCTCATCCCCTGCAATGGGGCTTTGCATTTCCATTTAGACACTGAGGTGGAAACCTGTCTGAGCTCCCCCACGGAAAAATCAATGCCAGGGAGCACTCATGCGTCTGTCCGACCTCTGTCTGCTTCTCCGTCATGGCTACTTCTGGTTGCCAGGAAGCTGCAAAGGTCTATTTGCACGTGTAGCTGATCTCTCCTATGTGATTACGTGCATGTGTGTGAGTGCACTTTTTGTCAAAATTGTTTTCTAAGACGTTTTCCTTTCTGCTACAGTTAGTATATTTAATACTTGCCTCACAATTAACTCTTGGGGCTGGCAGGATTTTGTCCATTCATACCCTACGATGGTAGCTCCAGCACGACAAACAGCATACATCAATTCCCTCCACAGTGTTTAATACTGAAATAGACTTGTTTAGAGTCGGCCATGGTTGAACATTGCAGGGCTTATTAAAACCCACTGCTGTTGAGTCGGGTCTGACTCATAGTGACCCCTCCTTGGGTTTGCGAGGAGTATCACTATGGAAGTAGATTGCCTAACCTTCCTTCTGAGGAGTGGCTGGTGGATTTGAACCACCAGCCTTCTGGTTAGCAGTCAAGTGCCTTAGGCACTATGCCACCAGAGCAGCCGTGGAAAGGAGTAAGAGCTGGGAATTTGGAGGATTTTATGTTAATAATTACTAACGTAAACATTTGCTGTCCTGTCATAGAGTGTCGATTTGCTAGCCTCCTTTACTGGACAGTACAGTCCTGAGGATGGACTGCGTTTGGGTCTCCAGTCTTTGTATTCTCAGGGCCTGATACATAGGAGATGATCAATAGACTTATGGGGGAATGAATGAATGAGTGAAACTTAGAGAACTTTAAGTGTCATTTCTGTGCCAAAAAAAAAAACCCACCAAAATCTATTTCTGCAATCTGAGTATAAGTTGGCCAGGAAGACATGAAACTGGTTTTAGTTTTTCTTTTCTTTTCTTTTTTTTCCCTCCACATCCTAAAAACACATTACTTTCCATCTGCTTTCACCACAATTTCCATACACTTCAACACTGAAAGCCAGAAAACTTATATTTAAAATGAATTTTGGAAACTATTTCCATTCTTTTAATGAAAACACAATACTTGGCCAGGGAAAAATAGGCAGAGAAAAGAAATCAGGGGGTGAGAAAAAACTATGAGACAACATATAAAAAAAGAAAACAGGGAGACGAATAAAATGCAGTTGTCTTTTAGGGATCTGTCTCCATAAATATTGTTGTTATGTTATGTGCCGTCGAGTCAAACCCGACTCATAGCGACCCCTCCTTGGGTTTCCGAGGCAGCATCACTACGGAAGTAGGATTGCCCAACCTTCCTTCCGAGGAGTGGCTGGTGGGTTTGAACCGCCAGCCGCCATAAATATTACAGCCAAGAAAACCTTACGGGGCAGTACTGCTCTGTCACATGGGGTCACCATGAGTTGAAATCGACTCCACAGCAACCAACAACATGCAAGTACTCGGGCACAATGCGAAATGCATTTTTTTTTTTTTTTATTTTACCATGGGAGGAGGTCAATAAAGTCTGAAAAACACTCATAGTACTACTACTAAAGAACCAACCCAAAGATGTTTATTATAATGTAACTCATGAATACAAAAAAAAAAAAAAAAAGGAAAATTAGGGGAATGCTTTGAGATTGTTATATACCCAACATGATAAAGTATAACACCAAAATTCAAAATTATGCAAATGTTTAGCTTCATAGGCAAATGTTTAAATAGAATGGCAAAAGTCGGCAGCAGAGCTATCCACTTTATATATATTGATCTACCATGAATCTAAGAAAAAACTAGAAAATAACCTAGAAAGAGCATGAAAAAAATGCAGTTTTATAGAAGCCTTTAAAATACTGTATTTTCTGTATCCTGCCAATTAGTGTTTAGATGGATACTCTGCTAGAGTTGAGGTTTTATTCCTTTTGAAAATCAACATACTATTTCTAAAGAGCAGATGTCACTTAAGGCATGTTGTTGTTGTTGTTATGTGCCGTCGAGTCAGACCTGACTCATAATGACCCCTGCTTTGGTTTCTGAGGCAGTATCATTACGGAAGTAGCTTGCCCAACCTTCCTTCTGAGGAATGGCTGGTGGGTTTCAACTGCCAGCCTTCTCGTTAGCAGTCAAGTGCCTTAGGCACTATGTTACCAGAGCTCCACTGAAGGAATCCTTATAGCAATGTAACTCACTAGTTACTGCCTTGTTGACTCTGACTCATGGTGATCCCTATGGGTCAGAGGAGAACTGTACTCTTATTCCATCTTCAATGGCTGATTTTTCAGAAGTAGATTGCTAAGCTTTTCTTTCGAGGCTCCTCTGACTGGACTTGAACCTCTAACCTTTCCATTAGCAGCTGAGCACCTTAACTGGTTATACCACCTGAGGGCTGCAGGATGTTATTTTTGTAAATACACATGCAAAAGAATAGCCAACATGCATCTCAAGGCATGCATCTCTGAGTTAGCACTTTCCCAACTCAGCTTGAATGATAAAGAAGCTCTACTTGGGGTCCTCCCCCTTTTTAAAAGGAGATTCTCCATAACATTTCAGTTTTCTGGCTGGCATTCACCTTTCTTTCTTTCTTTTCTCTCTCTTTTTTTTTTTAACTCACTAATTCTCACACTCTCAACTCTTGTAACTCCCACAGTAGCTAGACTGTAATCCTGGAAAGGTCTCCTCTTTGTCATACAGTACTGATAACAGACTAAAATTATTCTTCATGTCACAGATAAGAGACCAAACCTTTGAGAACTGTATCTCATTGAGGGGTGTCTAGTTACTGCATATGTGGCTCACGTTAGACCAGAATCACCAAGCGAACTTTTCCCACACAGTGTGTCTGTGCTTCTCAGCAATGGTTTCTTACTGCCTAGAGAACACAGCTGAATTCTAAATCAAACAATGAATACCTTCCCAGGTCCACAATCTTCTCCTGCTTTTTATCCCCCCATGAAGATCCAAGGTTAAGGTTGGCCCACCCTTTCTCATGGGTAACTCCTAGGACAGAGGATTTACTATTCTATTGTCTGAAAGCTTGGTGCAGGATGTTCAATACCATTTTTATAGTAATGGCTTAGGATTTCCATTCAGTATCCAATATTCCTGCTGACATGTTCAATTGCAATGATATACTATTTTCTTCCCTTAACAAATAACCCACAAGTGTTCCAATTATTAGCACAGTTGTGAAGATGGCACTACGGCTGCAGCAGACAGCAATAAGGCACAATGATAACATATTCCCTGTGTAAAAGTCAGATTTCTGTTTCATGTCATTTCTCTATAACCTTCATTTGCAGGTGAGTTGGTGATGGGATACCTACCTGGGTAAGGATGCGTACTGTCTCTCCATCCCTTCCAAGTGGAGGTTGTGTGCATTCCCATCTGGACCCTTTCCAGACACCTGTGGAGAGACAAGTAATTAGAGATGAAGATCCATTATACACCCTGGTTACTGACAATGCATCTCAAAACTAAAATCAGGGCACAAATGCTACTTCTGCCTGCCAACAACTAACCGTGGCAAAGCAAGTAACAACTCCGAATCACTAAAGGAATTGATGGTCAAACCACACACATGGCAGGTAACAACAAAGGCACTTCTTTCAAAAAGGGTCATTGTCAAACTGACTCCTTCCTGTCACCAAGCCAGGGCTACTCTGTATACTTTAAGACCTTCTTCTCCTTCTTTTCTTTTTCTCTATTTTATATCTTTTTTCATTGATTTTATTTTTAAAACAGTTTTAGATTTACGGAAACATTTAGAAGACAGCATAGAAAGTTCCTCTGTGCTCTGCATTCAGTTTCCCCTATTATTAATATCTGACATCAGTAAAGTACATTTTTTCAATGAATGAACTATACTGATGCATTATTATTAACTAACATCTATAGTTGACGGGAGCTCTGGTAGCATAGTGGCTAAGACACTTGCCTGCTAACCAGACGGCTGGCGGTTCAAACCCACCAGCCACTCCTCGGAAGGAAGGTTGGGCAATCCTACTTCCGTAGTGATACTGCCTCGGAAACCCAAGGAGGGGTCGCTATGAGTCGGGGCCGACTCAATGGCACATAACAACAACAACAACAACATAGCTTATTGAGATTTCCTTAGCTTTTACCTATTGTCTTTTTCGTTCCAGGATGCCATATAGGATTCTACATTTCATTTAGTCATTATGTCCCCTAAGATTCATCTTGGTTGTGACAAGGACTGTACTTTTAGAAGCACTTTCTCCATGAAACCGTTCTTCATTAACAGGGGCTGGTTACAAGCAACTATCTACTCCATGGATTACATGAAGTCCTACTTGACAACCCTGAATCTAACTTAGCTCCCTCCCTTATAAGCGACTACATAGAAGTGATCATCTGTTTTCTATCCAGTATTCATCTTTATTGTTTTTGTCCCTTTCATGGTACTTCCTGTGTTCACATCTCTTGGGGTCTCTTCTTTCAGCCTCTGAGATCCTGAAGGGCAATGACTGTCTCCAGCTGGTTCTCAGTAAAGTGTATTGGTTCCTTGAACATAAAGTCCTTATATCTGATCTTCCTGCATCTATCACACCAACTGAAAACAGGAGGAACACATGGGTTTTTAAAATGCTTGTTGACTGATCAATTCCTCACCTGTTCAGGCTAATACCTGTGGTAAGTGGACCCCTCATGTACTTGCTCTTGTGGTGAGGAAGCTCTCACACCGTGGCCATGGAAGGGGTAAACAGAAAACCATAGGCGTGAGAGGCACTTCGCTAGTAAACACAGGCAATGACAGGATCAGGGTCAGGAAGGGAGATTTTTCTAGGTAGTCCTTAACCTGGAACTTGTTTTTGTTCTTTCCCAAATCCCAAATTTCTAAAAAATGTCCACTACCATCTTAGTTTAGGTGGTATGTGTATGGGTGGAGGTTTGGGGTGAAGGGAGTTGTTTGTAAAGCAAGTATGCACATACATTTAGAGTAAGAAAGACTATTCTTGGTATCTAATTATTGCAGAAGGTCTTTCACAGCATATCCTGATACATCTCTTTATATTGCAGCTATTGCAGCAATATATGGAATAGGAGTAGCTGGAGTTATTTGAGAAGGCAATACTTCCATGAGTGATCAATGTAAGGATGAAGACTATACATAAAAATTTTGAAGCAACAACAGAGAGTCTAGAATTCTCTGCATTAGGTCAGAAGCCCTAATTTAAAACAATGGCCTCTCTAACCAAGACCACTTGAGAGGCAAGGATGGTGTCTCACAGGGAATGAACAAAAGAAGAGGAGAAGGACAGAAATATTGTCTTCAGACACTTCTGGTTTTTTTTTTTTTTCTTTGTAATGTTTTTAACTTGTTTCTTATGGAGAAAAAAACAAAATGAGTATCAAAACTGTGTTGAAGATTATTAATTGTAATTATTGGAAAACAATCTGCTACTGTACAGACATTTACAACTAATCTTTTTCTTGGCATCACAAAGTTCTAAGTTCATCCAGAAGTGACCTGGCCTCATGATGGTAGAAGTCAATAATCTAGTGTTTCGAAGAAGCTGTATCCCTATGCTGGCCGCTGTTCTGGAGAGCAAACAGCACATTAAAGTCCACAAAATATAGGATGATCTTTATCCTTAAGAAGCTTTCAGTCTTGTTGGAAAAACAAGCATTAAAATGAAATAATTAGAGAACGATGTAAGGCAATCTACGGTAAGTGCCACACAGGATGGTACTAGCAGTACAGGCATACCTCGGAGATGTGGCAGGTTAGTTCTAGACCACTGCAATAAAGGGAATACAGCAGTAAAGTGAGTCACAGGAACTTTTTGGGTCCCCAGTGCAGTAAGTTTTGTTTACACTCTAGCCTATTAAGTTTACAACAGCATTATGAGAAAGTATGAACTATCATGAGAATTACCAAAATATTGTGAGACTTACCAGAGACCCAAGCATGCAGATGCTACTGGAAAAAAATGTGCTGATAGATGTACTTGGCTCAGGGTTGCCACAACCTTCAATTTGTAAAAATTGCAATATCTGTGAAGCGCAATAAAGCGAAGCACAATAAAACGAGGTTTGCCTGTAGAATAGGTTGGGCCTTAAGAAAATAGGCATTAAGAAAAACTTCTCCCATGTGGCAGAATTTAGACTGGCCTTCAGAAGATGGGCAGCATGCTTGTGCACCAAAAGTGATTCTGCTGCTCACCAAGGGCATATATTTATGTGCTTCTGCATTCACCCTGGAACACCATTATTGTAGTCATTCTATTATTGAGTATGAAGCACCTACTGTATTGTAATACTGGGCTGGGCACTGGATACAAAGCAATGAAGAAATGCAGCCTTGTTTTCAAGGAGACAGGCCTGCAAGCAATTATGGTGCAATGAGATCACTGCTGCAGGGGAAGTGTGAGGACAGAGGCCTTGAACATCCAAACCCTCCTGGGAAAGTTGAAGACAGCTTTAGATGGGTGGTGAAGCCTCATCCAAAACTTGAGTAAGGAGGAGTTTTCAAGGAAAGAGAGGTGTTGGAGTAGCAGGAAAAGGAATTCTAAGTAAAGAAAACAAAAATGTAATAGCATGGAGGTCTAGAAAAAGCACAATGTGTTCAGGGAATGTCAAGATTTTGGTATATCAGAAACAAAGGGTATGTGGAAGGGTATGTAACAGTAGCAACAATACAACTGATGCTTCTACTATGGCTATGACTGGTATTGTCATTACTGCAGTTTGGCATTGATTCAGTGCTTGTTGTGTGTCAAGCACAAGGCTAAACAACTGACTTGCATTAGCCCATTCAGTCATCCCAATGACTTCTGAGGTAGGGACTATACTTGCCCCATTTTGCAGATGAGAAAACTAAGTAGTTGTTCAAGATTGTACAGTCAATAAGTAGTAGAGATGAGGCAAGAATCATGTCTATCTGATCCCAGAGTCTAAGCTCTTGAGATACAGACATGGACCAAGTCTTGAAGGAGCTCATATGCCATGCCAAGGAACTCAATTTTACCCTTAGGTGATGAAGAAGCCACTGAAAAGTACTCTGATAAGTTACAGGGTGTATTTGCAGATGAGAGAGATTATCTTTGCCATAATGTAGAGTTCCAGTGACAGTCTGGACCTGAGATAATAAAGGTCTAAACCCAGGGAACACTCAAAAAAATGGAGATAAGACAAGACAGAGGATGTTAAGAAGGTAGGATCAATAGGATTGACTGAGGGCTAATGGGAGGGATGTTCCTAGAATAATGCCCAAGTTTCTGTGCTTGGCAACTATGTGGGCTTGGTAATATTCGTTTAGATAGGAATAAAGAAAGAATAGATTTAGGAAAGCGATACTTAGATATACTGAGCTTCAGCTGGGACATCTGGATGGAGATATCTTGTAGATAGTTGAGTACAAAATTTGCAATTTAGAAGAGAAGTTTGGATTAGTGATATATTATTGGGAAATATTCAGCACATAGATGGTACCTGAAACCTTGGGGAATAATCTAAATGCCTGTGAAGCAAGAAATAAGACTGGCAATCTTTACAGAAGCAGACTGCTGCATCTTTCTCCCATGGAGCAGCTGGTGAGTTCCAACCACTGACCTTTGGGTTAGCAGCCAAATGTTTCACCGCTGTGCTATATTACTGAGCCATAATGAGAAATGAAGTCCTGATACATGCTCCAACTTGGATGAACCTTGAAAACATTATGCTGAGTGAAATAAACCAAACCAAACCAAAACCAAACCAAATGCACTGCTGTCGAGTTGATTCCAACTCATAGCGACCCCTCCTTGGTTTCTGAAGTGGTATCTCTACAGAAGTAGATTGCCCAGTCTTCCTTCTGAGGAATGGCTGGTGGTTCAAACCTTCTGGTTAGCAGTCAAATGCCTCAGGCACTATTCCACCAGAGCTAAGTCAGTCAAAAAAAGATACACAGTATGATCTCACTTACCTGAAACAGGTAAATAAAAACAGACCGAAGTTTATTAGTGGTTACCAAGGGTGGGAGGTAGGGGAAAAAGGACAGTTATTGCTTAGGGGTCATGGAGTTTTTGTTAATGGTGGTAGAATAAGCTAGGAAAAGGACAGTGATAACAGTAGTACAATGTGTCGCATATAAACAATGCCACCGAATTGTACAAGTTAAAAATGTTGAAGTGGTGAGTGTGTTGTCATGAATATTTTTACTATAATATTTTTTTTTTTTTTAAAGTATGTTGTAGCTGCAATGAAATGGTGACTGGTGTATTGACAACAATTTCAGAGGATTGATGGGGAGAGAAAGGCAGACGGTGTGGTGTTGAAAATCTTTATGAGATCCTTTTATTCTCCAGTAGACTGCAAGCTTAGTGTTCTAACAAATAAATAGCCACTGATTGTACTGTCTTATGTCATCCTGCTCACAAAATGGGATTGATACTTTCAAGTAAA